CCTCCCAAAGTGCTGGGATTACAGGCTTGAGCCACCGCGCCCGGCCAGGTTGCATTTTTTTTTAAGAATGCTGGTTTTCATCTCTAGTAGTTCGGTTTACTGTTTGATAATTTTCCGTATCTGCCCGGTTATTCCTGATGGTCCTTTGTTGCATGCACATCCTGAATTTCTTCCAATATTTTATACATAGCTATGCGGTGTTCTCTACGTGACAGTTCCACTATCTGTTGTATGTTGTCTCTGCTGACTCCCATTCTTGGTGACCTGCCTCTGGCATGTTTTATGATCTTTGTTTATGAGCTGATAGCTGGATTTTAATCTGTGGAACTCTTGCAGGCCCTAGTAGAAGACTTCTTACAGTGAGAGTTTGCTTTTGTTGTTGTTTTTTTCTGAGAGGAAGTCTCGCTCTGTTGCCCAGGCTGGAGTCCAGTGGTGTGATCTCAGCTCACTGCAACTTCCTCCTCCCGGGTTCAAGCGATTCTTGTGCTTCAGCCTCCCGAGGAACTGGGATTACAGGTGCACACCACCATGCCCAACTAATTTTTGTATTTGTAGTAGAGATGAGGTTTCACCACGTTGGCCAGGCTGGTCTCGAACTCTTGACCTCAGTTAATCCACTTGTCTCAGCCTCCCAAAGTGGTGGGATTACAGGCATCAGCCGTGACACCTGGCCGAGAATTTGCTTTTACTTCTGCCTGTAGCCAGAGAACACGACCCACCAGAGGCCGCTTCAGCCCTCCTGAAGAAAGGTGGCACTGCTGTGTGGTAGTGAGCTTTGGTCCTGTGGTGAGCGAGGGAGCAGAGCCCAGGGCCCTGGCTTCACATCACAGGCCCCAGGCTCAGTAGCTACATAGCAGAGCTGCCCTCCCTCTGCCTTTCTGTCTTCAGCTCTTTCATTCTCTCTTTTTTTTTTTTTTTGAGACAGAGTTTCACTCTTGTTGCCCAGGCTGGAGTGCAATGGCGTCATTCAGCCCACTGCAACCTCTGCCTCTCAGGTTCAACCGATTCTCCTGCCTCAGCCCCTCAAGTAGCTGGGACTGCAAGTGTGTGCCACCACACCCAGCTAATTTTTATATTTTTAGTAGAGACAGAGTTTCACCATGTTGCCCATGCTGGTCTTGAACTCCTGACCTCAGGTGATCCACCCACCTCAGCCTCCCAAAGTGCTGGGATTACAGGTGTGAGCCACTGCACCCAGCCCTTCTGCCTAGTCTTGTCATCACACTTAACTCTCTAACACACTATGTATTTTACTCGTTTTATTTATATCTGCTTCCCCAGTAGAACATGAACTCAGTCTGGCTGCTGTGGGAAGAACACACACTGGGTGGGGTGGGTACAGCCAAAACCCAGGTGAAGGTGCAGGTGACCTGATCTAGAGCACTTAGTGGTAGAGATGGTGACAAGTGACTGGATTCAGGAAATACTTGGACAGTAGCATGGACAGGATTTGCTGATGGTTTGGATGTGCCTCATAAGGAAATAAAAGGAGTCATTTGTCATCCAAGCAAGTGGGTAAATGGGCCAGATGGGAACCATGGGGAGAGGGGTAGATTCAAGGGGCCATGGGGCTTGGGAAGCAAGAGATTGGTTTGGGATATGTTAAGCGTGTGATGCCCATCAGCGCTCCAACTGTAAATATTGAGAGGGAAGTTGGATATGAGTCTGGAGTTCAGGGAAGAATCAGCTAGAGATGAAAATGTGGGAGTCATTGACTTGTTGATGATAATTAAACCCGTAAGACTGGGTGAGATCTCTTAGGGAGTAAATGAGAGAGAAGATAAAGAATTCTGAGGGTGGGCCGGACGCCGTGGCTCATGCCTGTAATCTCATCACTTTGGGAGGCCTAAATGGACGGATCACTTGAAGTCAGGAGTTCAAGACCAGCCTGTCTAACATAGTGAAACCCCTTCTCTACTAAAAATACAAAAATTAGCCAGGCACAGTGGCTTGTGCCTGTAATCCCAGCTACTTGGGAGGCGGAGGCAGGAGAATCCCTTGAACCTGGGAGGCGGAGGTTGTAGTGAGCCAAGCTCTTGCCTTTGCACTCCAGCCTGGGTGACAGAGTGAGACTCAGTCTCAAAAAAAAAAAAGGAATTCTGAGGGTGGACTGAAAAGGGGAAGCTTGTTGCCACAGTCCAGGACAGGAATGAGATGAAGTCTGAGCCAGGGAAGAGCCATGGGTGCTCAGAGGGACAGGTTTTAGAAAAGTATAGATTAAAAACCTGCCAGGACATGAGCCATCTCCCCTACGGAGCCTTCTCTGACAACCGTCTGCTGGGTGTCCCTCTGGGGTACTCCCATAGTTCCCTATGCATGAGGGTGGTCAGCGTCCCAGGAGGCAGAGTCAACCAAGAGCCATCTTCTGCCCATAGTCCCCTGCACACAGCACAAGACAGGGTCAGTGACTGTTAGATGGATGAACGCTCCATGCCTCTCTCTTCCCAGCTCCCATTAAGGAACCAAAAAAGTTGATGTCCAGAGCATCCCTCCCTACAGTCAAGAAGTTAGCGGCAGTCCCCACTGGGCCCAGCAAAGCCAAGTAAGGAGCAGGACAGGGTTGGGGGAAGGAAGGTAGAAGGAAATGCCCCTCCCTGTGCCCTACGCCCAGGGCCTGATGAAGATGTGTTCCAGGACGTCTCGGACACCCAGCAGGGACAGTCAGAAGCACACCTCCCAAGACTCAGGTAGGGGCTGCCTTCCTCCAGCAAGGGGAGGCCTGGAGGACAGGAGTGGGGTGGCTGTGCTGAGGGACAGAGGTGGGAGGAGACGGAGGGTCAGAGTAGGCTTGGGTCCCTGAAATTCTGCTCTCTTAGGCCCCAGTGGCGGCTTCCAAAGTAGAGCTTCGGGCCACACTGGCCGAAAGCGATCCAAAACCCAGACTCCCCAGCAACGTTCTCTGTCCAGTCAGGTGAGGGGCAGGAGGCATGGAAGAGTGGGGGTGCTGGGCAGAGGCTAGTTCCCAGCTGTGGTGTGCATGGGTGAAGCATCCCAGGCCACGGGGAACCAGACTCAACCTCAGCTGAGACTTCACCTCCCATCACGGCAGGAGGAAGAGCAGAGCAGCCCAGCAAAAGCCTCCTCTGTGAAGAGAACCCCCATGCTGGACAAGACCGCCACTGCAGAGAGGCCCCTAGCTGTGGAGAAGGCCCCCAGCTCCAAGAAGGTCCCAGCTCCTGACAGAGTACCCTCCCCAGAGAAGACCCTCACTCTAGGGGATAAGGCCTCTATCCCAGGGAACTCCACCTTGGGAAAGATGCGGGCTCCTGACAAAGTCCCCACCTCAGAGAAGACGGTGACTCTGGAGGAAAAGACCTCTGTCCCAGAGAACTCCATCCCAGAGAAGACCCTAACTGTGGACAAACCCTCCATTCCAGAAAGGGTCTTTTCCATGGAAGAGGCTCCTGCCCCAGAAGTCCTACCTATGGATAAAGTCCTTGATCCAAAGATGGCCCCTCCAGGGGATCAGGCCCCCACCCTAGAAAAGGTGTTGACCCCAGAGCTTTCTGAAGAGGTGTCCACCAGCGATGACACTCAGTGCTATCACTTCTCTCCGGAGGAAGGCCTGCAGAAGGTCAAGTCCTTTGTAGCCAAAGAGGCTCAATCCCAGGAGAAGGCCCACATGCCAGCGGCACCCCCACTGCAGCCTCCTTCCTCAGAGAGCTGCCTGGGAGAGATGAAATGCCCCCTAGTTAGAGGGGACAGCTCTGGACCCCAGGCTGAGTTGAAGTCTGGACCAACATCCAGGCCTGCCCTAGAGAAGTCCCCCACCCAGAAAGAGGCTACAACCCTTCTAGAGGGGGCACCTTCCAAAGACCAGAGGACTCCTGAAGAGGAGGTGCCCCCCAATGAGGACAGGCCTCTGAGAGAGGAGGTCCTCCCCAAAGAGGGAGTGGCTTCCAAAGAGGAGGTGCCCCCAAAAGAGGAATTACCCCCAAAAGAGGTGCTCCCCAAAGAGGAAGTGGCTCCAAAAGAGGAGGTGCCCCCTATTGAAGGAGGCTTTGTCCAAAAAACACGTCCTATCAAGCCCTCTCCAGACTCCCAAAAGACGCTCCCGCTCCCGACCCTGGTCTCAGAAAACTCCTCGGAAAGCAAGAATGAGGGAGTTGATGTAACGACGCTGAAGGGCGAGGTGGAGTCTCTAAGAAGGGCGCTGGAGCTGATGGGGGTGCAGCTGCAGTGAGTGGGCGGCAGCGGGGTGTGGAAGGGGAGGGTCCCCCCAGCTCTCACCTGCCCAGCCCCTCACCTCCGCCTCGGCCTGCAGGAAAAAGCTGACGGACCTCTGGGAGGAGCTGAAGAGCGAGAAGGAGAAGCGCCAGCGGCTAGAGGTGAGGCGCGTGTCCTGGTGGGAGGGGGCCGGCAGCGGGTCGCCCCCTGACAAAGTCTCCACCCCACTCCCGACCAGGTCCAGCTGATGCAGGGGACCCAGAAGTGCCAGACCCAGCGCATCACCCACGCACAGACGCAGACCTCCTGAGGGCGGGCCTGGGACGGGACCGCGGCCCGACCTGGCTGGGGCCACCCACGTTCTTGCACACGACTTTGGGAAACACGAGAAAGTAAACTCTGCCTCGCAAGGCTTGGTCTGGTCGCTGGGGGCGGGGCCTGCGCGGGGGCAGGGCCTGGGCCTCCGCATTCCAGGCCGTCTGTGCCGGGCACATCTGGCCAACATGTGGCTCCCATTACCGTTCCCAAGGCCTGCGCGCGGCTATTTTTATCCACCGGATGATGAGGGGCGGGGGAGGGTGTCTCTTTCGGACGCCAGCCGCGCCGCGCGCTGGAGAAATGGCGGGCAGGAGGGGCCCTGGCGGGGTCAGGCTGTGTCGCCCGGCCTGGATTCTGGAATCCAGCTGTGCGCGGGGGAGGAGCCGGGCGGGCCTTCTCGCGAGCTCGGACCCCTCCCAGCTGGCCTCCCGGTCCGCTCAGAGGGACTCCTGCCCTCTCGCTTGAATGCACCTCGGCGCAGACATGAAGTCCAGCGCCCAGCCCAAGCACGCATGGTTACACCGGGGCTAATAGCACCTTAGCCTCGAGGTCAGGCCTGGTGTGTGTGTGTGTGTCATTGAAATGTATGAACCCAGGGCACCGTGGGGACGGGGCGACGTGTGCCCAGGCGCTTGACGGTAAGGAATGCATTTTAATAAGGAATGCGTGTGCACTGCTCTGTGTGCGGCTGGGTGCAGACCTGTGGGCTTCTGCTGGCTGCGGAGTGAACGCGGGCAGGTGTGCTGTGTCGTCAGGCGGGTGCGGGTGGGGGTGCGGCCAGGGTAAAGGGGTCAAGTGGGGCCTCAGCCCTGGGACCCCGGCGTGGCAGGAGCCTGGGGTCCGCTGGGGGCAGGGGTAACAGAGGGAGAGACTGAGTCACTGAGAATGCAGCTTTCTTTCATTTGGTCACTTCACCTCTTCATCGTCCCCCAGAGAGGGAGTGGGGACCCTGCATCCTGCCCCCTCCCCCGCCCCCAGGGTCTTCTGGCAGGACTGGGGCAGGGAGCCTCTCAGGGGGTGGCGGTCCACGCCCAGTAGCACCGGAGAGCCGTGGGGGCCAAGGAAGTCCGAAGGTCTGGGGCAGCTCTGTGCTCCTGTGCAGTCCGGCACTCGCAGCGCCTTGCAGCTGGAGCCGGGGCCCATCAGTAATAGTGCATGCGGCTCAGGGTGCCCGCGCCCGTGGCCGTGGGGCTGGGCCCCAGCGTGCCTGTGCCCAGCAGGTCCGGCTGCCCGGTGCGCCAGATCTCCCGCAGGATCCGCTCGCGCTCCTCCAGCCGCTGCGCCCGCTCCAGCTCCTCCGCCGACGTGAAGACGTTGACGCTGAGGGGCCCGTCGGGCTCCGCGGACAGCTCAGGGCCCGGCAGCGTGTCGTCCGGGCCCAGCCGCGTCACTGTGTCCTCCTCGTCCTCGTCGTCGTCCTCGGGCTCCAGGGTGCTGCCGCGGGGGTCCCGGCGCTGAGCTGGGCCCCGGGGCCGCGGGCGCGGCGCCCACGAGATGCTGATGACGAGCAGGCAGAGGGTGAGCAGCAGGCCGAAGCAGACGCCCAGCACGAAGTAGAGGCCGAAGCTCTCTGGGTTGGCTGCGAGGCACAGGGCGGGGGTCACAGAGGGGCCCGGGCGGGTAGGAGGCGTCCCAGTTGGAAAAGACCCCCGGTTCTAGGTCTGGGGGCAAGGCCTGTAACCCCTAGTCAAAGGGCATGAAGGAACCGCCAGCGGGCAAGGGGGCGGGAGCGGGGCGGAGGGGACGGGCGAAGCGCTGGGGAGGGAAGCGGATGGTGGGCAGGGAAGGGTCCAGGTCCCCGGTCTTCCGGCGCCCGCCCTCACCGCGGATGTGTGCGTAGGCAGCCAGGCTGTTGCTGAGCAACTCCATGTCCCTTCGCGGGGCATCCATGCTGTTCTGGGGGACAGCTCCCCTGCCAGCCTGCGAGGTCAGCAAAGTCAGATCCTCCTCCCAGCCTGGAGCCGACACCGACCCCTTCCGCGGGCAGCTCCCAGGTTCCACCCTGGAGAGAGCGCTTCCCTAACTTCGTGGTGGCCCCGGGCCCTGCCGGGTGGGACCCCTCTCCCGAGCACGGACGCCCCTACAGCCCGGGTAGCAGCGCCGGGGACTGCGGGAGGCCCCGCCCCCTTGTGGGGTCCCGAGTGGAGACTGAGTTCCGGAGTCCTGGGGCGGGATGGAGGATGGGGACGCGGAGCCTCCTCTACTCCCCAGCCGGGCTCCGGGAAGGGAAGCCGCCTCCCTCCCCGCCCCGCCGCCCCGCGGGTACCCACCGGCCCGGGGCCGGGCCCACTCACCGTCAGCGCCCCGCTTCCCGGCTGCCCAGCCCTGGCGCGTCCCGCGGCCGCATACACCGGCCCCCGTCCCCGCCCGCTCCGGTCCCGCAGCCCCTCCGGCCTCGCTGGGCTCCCAGGCCGCGGCAGCGCGGGCGGGACACGGGCCGAGGGACCAGCCGCCGGAAAGTTTCCTCCGAGGAAAGAGGAGGGACGGGACGGGGCGGGGCGGGCGGGGAGGCGGGGAGGAAAAGGGCCGGGAGAGGAAGGGGAGAGGAGCGGGCAGCCGGGAGGAGGGAGAGCCCAGCCCGCGGGCCGTTCGTCCCCCACAGGAAACCGCCGGGGAGGCCGCGGCAGGGACCCGCCCCCAGGCCACTAACAACAACAACAGTGAGGCTGGAGCTCTGCCTGCGCGCGGGCCCGGGGGCTGAATCCTGGACAGGTTCTTTCCCTTACTCCGCCTGACAACCCTGCGACGTCGTACGATTATCCCCACTTCGCAGATAAAATAAACGGAGTCATGGAGAGATTGAGTGACTTTACCAAACCGTCAGAATTTGAACCTGCTGCTCTCTGACCCTAAAGCCTGGGCTCGAAACCACCGCTCCCCCTCCTAGGAGGCCCCATCCGGAGAAGACCGCTTCTCTTCCCCAGACCCACGCCAGCGTGGAAGGGAGGGGACTGTCCACCCCTCCTCCCAGGCCCCAGGCTTGAATGTGTCCCCTGGCCGAGCTCTGGCCTGGTCACGCAGGGTTAATGATTGTTGGGCTGCGGCTCTGAGCCAGGCCCCGGCCAGCAGCCTCGCAGACCCCCAGCTCGGGGCCTCTGTGCCTGCGAGCTCCTGCGCTCTTGTGCACCAAGCAGCTTGTGGTGGCTTGTGGCGGATCCCACCCCATTCCGTCCCCTCCCGCCCCACCGTGCTCCCCACCTCCCACCCCAAGGCTAAACCTGCCTGTGCTCACACGCATTTCCCACCTGGGCTTGTGCATGCAATGTGATGTGTGTGTGGCTGGGGGCTTCTTTCTGCCCTTCCTCCCCAGGGCCCCCCATCATGGGCCTCCCCTCTCTTGCTGAAGTTAGGATGAGGGGGAGGCTGCTTTGGCGGGAGCCTTCGAGAGGAGGAGGGAAGGAAGGGGGAGAGGAAATTGCAGACATAGCTGAAGAGGCTGCCTGAGGCCTGTGGACCAGCGACCCTCTCCCTGTCCCGGGGGCAGACCCCTACTCCCCCAGTCCCAAGACTGGGTTCAAGTAGAGGGCAGATCTAGGTGGGGGAGGACTAGGACTGACTCCCATGGGGATGGAAAAGGGACTCCTGGGTGTCTTTGTGACTGTTTAGTCTGTTCTGTGAGAGTGCATGGTGGTATTTTTGCCCACATCCATATATTTGTGTATTAATGTGGTGTATTAGTATTGTTGTGGGGGATGGGTATGTGTGTGTCAATCTGTGCAGCTACTGGTCCACAAATACTGTGTATGTCTAGTACTTCCTAGTCTAGACCACAGCATCTGTGGATTTAAACAACTTTGGCTCAAAAATATTCAAAACCAACATTACATCTGCACTGAACATGTACAAGCTTGTTTTCTTATTATTTCCTAAACAATAGATGTTATTTTTTTCTTTGAGACAGGGTCTCACTCTGTTGCCCAGGCTGGAGTACCAAGGTGCTATCTCAGCTCATCACAACTTCCACTTCCTGGGCTCAAGAGATCCTCCCTTTTCATTCTCCCAAGTAGCTGAGAGGGACCACAGGTCCCTCAATATGCACCACCACGCCTGGCTAATTTTTGTAGAGATGGGGTTTTGCCATGTTGCCCAGGCTGGTCTTGAACTCCTGGGCTCAAGTGATCCACCCACCTTAGCATCCCAAAGTGCAGGGATTACAAGCGTGAGTCATCACACCAGCCAATAGTATATTTTCATAGCAGTTACATTGTATTAGATATTATAAGTAATCAAGAGATGATTTAAAGTGTACGGGAGGATGTGTGTAGGTCAAATGCAAATACTGAACCATTTTATTTTACCTCAGGGACTTGAGGATCCTCAAAAGGGAGGTCATGGAGCCAATCCCCTGAGGATACTGAAGGACAGCTCTAATGGGGATTTAACAAGAAACAGAACAGACACAAATCTTTGCCCTCTCGGAGCTGACACTAAATTGGAGAAAAAATAGAAGATAATCTCACATGCTTCTAAGTGCTCAGGGATGACAGGATAGGGTAATGTGATGGACAACACCTGGGGGTGGCTCGTACAGGGACATCCACAGTGAGACCTGAATAGGGGGCAGCCGTGCTGGGATCTGGGGCGAGTGTCTGAGCAGGATCAAGGGCAGGAGTAAGAGCGTGCTTGAGATACCCCCCTCCAAGGGCAGAGAGCCATGCAGATGGTGTGTGGGTGCAAGGGAGAGTGGCAGGGGCTGCCCATGCAGGGGCTCGCTGGCCTTGCTGAGGAGCTTGGTTTGTGGTGGTGATGGTGTTTTGAGATGGAATTTTGCTCTTGTTGCCCAGGCTGGAGTGCAATGGCGTGATCTCAGCTTACCACAACCTCCGCCTTCTGGGTTCAAGTGATTCTCCTGCCTCAGCCTCCTGAGTAGCTGGGATTACAGGCATGTGCCACCACGCCTAATTTTGTATTTTTAGTAGAGATGGGGTTTCTCTATGTTGGTCAGGCTGGTCTCAAACTCCCTTCAGGTAGTCCGCCTGCCTCGGCCTCCCAAAGTGCTGGGATTACAGGTGTGAGCTACCGTGCCCAGCCAGGAGCTTGGTTTTTCATGTAAGTGTGGTAGGGAGCCCCTGGAGCATTGATCAGGGGAGTGGCATGGTCCCCTGACACACTTTGGAAAGATCCCTGTGTTGGCTCAGTGTAGGGTGGCCACTGTGTGCAAGAAGGGGAGCAGGGAGGGCAGAGAGAGCGGGGCCGGTGGAGGGGTGAGAGGGCTCAGACTCAGGTGGTGTTCCGAAGGGAGTTCCTGCCCTGGACTTGGACGTGAGGGAGAGAGTTTAGAGGAACACCTTGATACTGGGGCTGGGGCACCTGAGGAACGTCCACATGGGGAAGCAGTTTTGGGGGGAGTCAGTTTCACTGTAGATAGGTTAGATCTGAGAATGCCCATTAGATATCTGGGTGCAGGTGTTGGCAAGGCAAGTGGAGCCCCCAAGAGTCTGGCTGGAAAAGATATTTGAGAGTCCTCACCACATAAGATGGATTTACCACCCCAAGATCTGGGGAGGCCGACCACCTGGGGCAAGGGGGCAGAGAGAGAAGGGCCTGAAGCTCAAGCCCTGGACACCTCCTGGAGGTGAAGTCAGCAAGGAGAGATGAGTGAGGTGGGAGGAGAACCAGGCCAGAACAGGGACGTGACCAAGTGGGTGTGATCGGGCTGAGAGGTAAAAAGACAAGGCCAGAATTTGTCCACTGCCTTGGGTGAGATTTGAAGACCGTCAGCAATATTGAGTTTCTATGGGTTGTATTCCTATTTCTTCAAGGGATGTATGTCACTGACTGTTTGCACAGGTAGCTTATTTATGTGCAGGATTGCTGGGAGTGCGTGAGCATGTTCAATGTCTGCCATCTACGGGAATATAAGCGTGTGTGTCTGACCACGTGTGTTTTGTGCCTCAGTGCCTCAGTTCGTGTGGCACATACCTGTCCTGTCTCTGTGAGGTCCACGTGTGTGCTTCTCTATGTGCAGTCTAAAATTTTGGATCTTTTCTGTCAAGCTGTTTCCTGGCATCTCTGGGCTATGCAGCTCTCTGTATCTTTGCCTGCAGCTAAAGTGTATTTGAGTCTGGGTTGGCATGTGACATAAGTTTTTGGAGTGGGTCAGGTGTGACTCAGCCCTAGTGAAGCAGGATGAGGGTTGAGATGGTTACTGGTGCCTACAGAGAGAGGGACGCCTGTTAACCAGAGTGCTGTCTTCTCCAGGAGCAAGCCAGGCCCCTGTGGCCAAGCCAGGCCGGGTGAGAGAAGCGGCAGCCTTGCCCTGGGGGTTTTGAGAAGCCATTCTCTTGGGGGCCCTGGGGAAGGTGCCGGAAACCTTTGGCCAGTGTGGCAGTCCCGATGGTCCACATGCCCTTCCCGCCCCCTGCTGAGCTGCTTGACTGCTTGCTGCTCCCAGCCCACCAGCCTGTCCATAGGTCTGTGTAGCCACCTGCTTCGAATCTCTCTGTAGGTCTGTCACCTGCTAGACTGGCTCTCATCCCAACTATCCACCTGCCCATCTCCTCCCTACCTCCTCGCTGCCTGTCTGCCCAGGACTTACCTGCTGTCTGCTCACCTGCCTGCTTGTTGACTGCTTCTCTGCCCTCCTAACTGCCTGTGAGACTAGAGATGTGTCACCTTGGAAAGCATGGAGAGTGCCCCTAAGGGGAAGCACAGGAAGGACAGGCCTTGATGGAAGGTCGGGGGGCTGAGAGAGCCAGAGCCGATGGGAGGGCACTTGAGAGTGCCAGCATCTTCCGGGCCTGGTGCAAACCCAAGCACGGCTCTGCTCCTGGCCCCAGTGGTCAAACTGAAGGCTGGCCCTGGCTATTCTGCTGTTGACATGGGTCTCACCCCACCATGGGATAGGTCTTGGATGGAGGGAGGATGGGGACTCACCAGGGGTCTCCTGAGTCCTTTGAGTGTCCCCACACCCCCAGGACCCAGGAAAGCTGCTGGAAAGAGGGTACTGGCAGTAATTTGCTAAATGAACAATAGGCCCGGTGTGGTGGCTCATACCTGTAATTCCAGCACTTTGGGAGGCCGAGGTGGGCAGATCACTTAAGTCCAGGAGTTTAAGACCAGCCCAGGCAACATGGTGAAACGCTGTTTCTACAGAAAACTACAAAAATTAGCTGGGCACAGTGGCACGCACCTATGCTCCTGCTACTCAGGAGGCTAAGGTAGGAGGATCGCTTGAGCCCAGGAGATGGAGGCTACAGTGAGCCGTGATCACGCCACTGTACTCCAGCCTGGACGACGGAGCAAGACCCTGTCTCAAAACAAACAAAACAACAGCAACACCAAGAGAACAATAACAGGGACAATTTCCAGCACCTGGCACTCTGCCAAATGCTGTGCATGGTCTGAGCCTTCCGTCTTCCTAGTGATCCTGTGCAGTTTGTAGCATGGCCCCCATTTGCCAAGAGAGAATCGAGGTGAAGCAGTGCCTGTGGAATCACATGGCTGCAGGTGGTGGGGCTCAGGCCAGACCT